GGAGTTGGAGGCGGAGCAGACGGGTGGAGCGGGCGTCCGGGGGCGGTGCCAAGGTGGCCCGAGTCCTGATTGGTGGGTGTGGGTGGGAGGACACCGGCGCCGCGCGCTGGGCTGGCTATTGGCTGCGTGGGTGTCGGTAGAAGCCGGCAATTGGCTGCGTGAGCCTCAACCTGGGTCAGCTATTGGGCAAGTGGTACGATGTCCCCCGGGGCTAGGGTCCTGTGAATGGCACCACCCCATACCCTCGACCTGTCTGTGCTGGACCTTCGGAGTACAGGGGCCCACGTTCTTCCCGAAATTTCTCCTTAGGTGAATTGTCTGGACCCCATCAACTCCTTCATTTCTCTCCTCTTGAAGACAGCTTTCCAGGAAGACCCTTTTAATAGCCCCTCCCAGCCTTGCAAACGAACTGCTCCTTCCGCAGCTCAGAGTCCAAGCGCTCCCCAAAGCGTCAGCTGTAACGAAGCAGCGTCTAAAGCAACTGGGACCTCCTCTGAAGATAGATCAGATGTCTTGCCACCCGGAAGGAGCTGGATCTTAGGAACCCGGGGCCTTCACCAGACAGGTGTTCCCAAGAACGAAATGCTGGCTCTCTCGCTGCCCTACTAAAGAGGACTTGGAGCGTTATCATATTTGGAAACCTTGGTTTTCTCTATCTTTCACCAAAGTATTATCCCACACTGTATGAGGACCTGAGTCAAAAAGTGTATATTTAGGATTCTCCACCTTCTGATTCTTCCATCTTCTGGGAACAGTACTTTCTGAAATGACCCTTTTCGTCTGTCTTTTAAGACCACATTTGCCTATGTAGGTCATTTTCAGACTTCCCCCTTTATTCTCAGAACTCATCAATTCTCACTCCTATCATACTCCAAAAAATCAGCCACAAAACTCCTTTTCATTCCTCATCGCTTCATTCCACCTTTTAGAGGTCTTCCAGGGTTACCAGACATCATGACTGCTTCTGTTCTAAGCCTTATTTTCTGTTGCTGGCCCCTTATTTCTCCCTCCTTCCCGACTCCTGCCCCTCGAGCTCCCTTCCTCCTTTCCCACTGTCGTCTCATTTAGTTACAATCTCAACTCCTAACAGCAATCCCTCGTTCTTCAAACTAAAATGGCAAAACCCTCACAGGAGTAAACAGCAGAAAGACACACTCAGCTTTAAGGTTAAAAACCTAGCTGGGCGTGGCGGCACACACCTTTAATCCCAGTACTGTAGGAGGATTGTAAATTCAAGTCACGCCTAGGTGATTTAATGACTGTGAGACTCTATCTCAAAATAAAAAAAAGGAACTAAAAGGGCTGGGGATGTAGCTCAGTGGAAAGGCCCCAAGACTAAGGAATCTGAAGTTTCAGGGCCTCCCTGGCACAGATCTCTTCCGAGGCACTGGGGGAGCCTCAGCACCATGGTAATGTTACAGGTTTTTATAAAACTTGAAATCCATGTAATTGGTTAAGATTTGATGTACTTTTCCTTTCTGACTTGCCCTCCAAAACATTTCCCCTTTTGTCAGTTGGCAATGAGAGGCCATGTGTTCTTTCCATTAGCCTAGGAAACTGAGATGGGGATACATTAGTCCAGGTTCAGTGGGTATACACTCACTGGTTCTGCAATCACTTCTGTGAATGAATTATCTCCATGTTGATATGAACTAAACTGTGCTTCCCATGGGGCCAGGGATTTAGCTCAGGGGTTTGGTGGCCTGCCTTGCAAGTGCACGGACCCGAGTTCAATCCCCGGTACCAAAAAAAAAAAAAAAAGAAATAAATAAACTGTGCTTCCCTCAATCTCATTATAGAAGTAAACCCTCAGTATCTCAGAATGTAACTATTTGAAGACTTTAAAAAAGGTAATTTAAATTAAAATGAGGACTTTAGAGTGGGTTCTAATACAATATGACTGATGTCCTTACAAAAGGAAACAGTCCTTGCATACACAGAAGAAAAACTCTGGTGAAGACATAAGGCGTACACAGCTATCCACAAGCCAAGCAGAAAAGATTCAAAATGAAATAAACACCATGATTTTGGACTTCTAACCTCCAAAACTGAGAACATTTGTGTGGTTTAAGCCACTGTGGTATTTTGTTATGGCAGCCCTAGAAAATGAATCCAGATATATATGGCGGGGGAGGGGGGCTTCCAACTACAGGGCATTAGTCTTCACAATTTTGTTTTGTTTTTTTTTGTTTTTGGTTTTACTTTTTTGAGACAGTGTCTCACTATATAGTTGAGACTGACCTGGCACTCACTAGGTAGCCCAGGCTGGTTTCGAACTCACAGTGATCCTCCTGCCTCAGCTTCCCGAGTGCTGGGATTACAGGTGTGCACCACCACGCCTGGCTTTGTTTTTTCGTTTTTTTTTTTTTTTAAATTAATATGTGCATTACAAGAAACAAAAACACAAGAAGCAAAGAACAAAGTCATTTGCAATCATAAGCAGCTTAGCTAGATGTGTTCTTCCAGGTCACGTGTACATACACAACATGCCATTTTCTGTGACTGAGTTTGTACAGTGTCATGTTTTTCCATGCATCATGAATATCCTCCAATTCAAAATCCCAAATCTACGAGAGTATTTTTTTTAGTATCCAACTCGGGACCTTATGCTTGTGGGGTAGGCGGTGGATCCACTGAGCTAAATCCCCGGCCCTACAAGAATATTTTAGATAACCCAGAATACACAACACCAACTCAATCTGTTAGAAAATCATTGCAATTGGCCTTTCTCTGGAAATTTCACTGAAGATAAAAATGGCAACAAGTCTCTAGATGAAAGTATGGGCAAAGTTACAATCACACTACTACATTTCCTTAATGCTCAATTTAAAATGAGACGTAAAGCAACAGAGTACACCAAGCCATTGTCTGAGAGTCATCAGATCTCTACTATTAAGCTATTAACAAGAAGGGATGTTCCCACTTAGTAACTTCTCTCTACAGTATACCTAGAAGACACACGTTGATCCCTCTTGCCAAAACGTAAATCTGAACACTTGGCACACATCTCTCCTCGAGTGCTTATTTCCACCCCTCTGCTGCCAGCCTAGTGACAAGTCCTGATACACACTGTCTAGAGGTGTAACAATTCTAAGTCCAAGATGCATCTTTTCTATCAATTACAACAAAAAGAGACTTAAATGTTGTCTAACTTACTACCTCTAGTTTTTATCATGCATTGTCATCTCAGGGCATCTAAAAGGTTAGATGTTGTGCAAAACAGTATGAACTTTGTGCACAAAGGCCCAAGTACTTTGGCAAAAGGACCCACACAGGTCTATGGTTATAGTCTAAAATCATCTTCCAGCTATGAAGATATAACCAAGAGCCCTTACCACCCTCACCCACCCTTTTCCCCCTTCACCACTTCAGTGACTAAGTTCAGGACCACATCTAGCTCCAGGAGGTAGCTACAACAGAATGTAGGCTCTGCCGCTTGCCTTACAGGCGCAAGGTCCCAAGTTCGACCTCTGGTTAAAAAAAAAAAAGAAAAAAAAAAAAAAGAAGCAGCAGCTAATATAACAAAGGTCACCTCCAGACCAGGGATTTAGCTCAGTGGTTCTGCTGCTTGTCTTGCAAGTGCAGGGTCCCGAGTTCAGTCCCCAGTACCAAAACAAACAAACAATAAAAACTTTTTTTGAAGATTTTTTTGGGGGTGTTACCAGGGATTGAACTTGGGACCTTGTGCTTACAAGGCAGGCAGTGGAACCACTGAGCTACATCCCCAGCCCTAAGAAAAAAAAAGAACTTAAATGTCCCATATGTATAGTGGCAGAGTAAATCGCACACATATACTTAACAAAGGGTATAATTTTAAAGTGTCATCTAAATAAACACTCTGGTCTAGAACCTTTTCCCCTTTCCATTTTTTTTAACCCAGTAACTGATATATACATATGTAATATTTATTTATTTATGGTGCTGGGGCTGGAACTCTGGACCTTGTGCTTATGAGGCAGGCGGTGGAACCACTGAGGCCCTATACATATGTAATACTTACAGAGGATTTTAATAATTTCACTTCCTAAGTGGTTTCAACAATATCCTTTTTTGTTTGTTTGTTTGTTTGTTTTGGTACCAGGGATCGAACTCAGGACTTTGCGCGCTTGCAAGGCAGGCGGCAGAACCACTGAGCTAAATCCCTGGCTACTACCTATACTTTTAACATACTTTGTGCACTTCTAAACACCTAGAAAGACGAAGTGTTTCAAATACAGACTCAGGCTTGTCCACTGTATATACAGTAGTGTGGAAAATACACATGTAACAATGGAGCTTTCTGGCCTAACATCCTTCATTTCTTCTTTCCTTGTTACATGTGATAGAGGCACACATGTCACTCAAATATGACTTTACAATTAAACTTCCAAAAAATCCTTTTCAGAAGATTGCCTTTCTCCAAATTTTTTAACACAAAGTGTACAAAATGTGTTAGTTTTCTAACTCTACTTTTGTTAGATATTGGCAACCTCTTTAATATCTAGAAACTAGAAGGGCCGGGGATTTAGCTCAGTGGTTCTGCCGCCTGCCTCACAAGCACAAGGACCTGAGTTCAATCCTCAGTACCCACTCCCCAAAAAAAGAAACAACAAAAAAACTCTAGAGACTAGATATTATAAAATAAGACTTACATGTCCATTACATACATTCTATATACTGTATAACAAAGTTAAATAGAGCAGTGGATAAGCTGAAATTTTCTACTATACACTCAACAAAACACCTTTCACAATTTCTTTCCCAATGAGCAAGTACAGACAGTATACTGTTCAGAGGTTGCTATTTGCAAGCATAGTATTTCCTATCAGTTTATAAAAGCTGTTTACAAAGTATTATTCTACTACTTCTACTTTTAAATATCTAGAACTAGATTTTTCATATAAGTATTTGCCTGCTACCATACTCTCAAGTGAAATAAATCAGACACATGTTGAAATACTGCATTGTTTCTCTGATGTGAGAAACTGAAAATAGAAAGAAGGACCAAAATGTATAATAGATATTGGGAAATGGGTAGAAAATGTTCAGCCCAGGGATTTAGCTTTTTGTTTCCACCGCCTGTCTCACAAGCATAAGGACCCAAGTTTGATCCCCAGTACCAAAAAAGAAAATGTTCAAATGAAAAGGGGAACAAGGGAGGAGGGAGGGGGAAAGGATGAAGGGACAAGAGGGGCTGGGGATTTAGCTCAGTGGTTCTGCAGCCTGCCTCGCAAGCACAAGGTCACGAGTTTGACCCCCAATGTCAAAAAAGGAGGAGCGAAAGGGGGGAAGGAAAAGAAAAAAAGAGAATAGAAGGAAAAATGGAAACAAAGCTTTTATAAATAAGGAGGAGAAGAAGGGTTGAGGGAGGAATAGGAAAAAAAAGCAGCAAGACATATCACATACAGGTACAAATTTCCTATTATAAATGTTATCCTGTATTATCTAAAATGTACCAATAAATGTTTTGTGTCAAAAAAAACCTTATCTGCTATCATACAGCACTGATAAAATTGCATGTGCAGCAATGGTTGTATTCTGAAATATCTTCTAAATATGACCATCTTGGCTTCATTTCCTTCATTCTGCCTTCAACTAAGTGGACAAGTACAGGCATATTTAATGTTAGAAATAGTGGAATCCAGAGCTCATTTACAGAGGACAAGCTTTTCTGTGTATTTCAACACAAAGTATACACAATGTGCTAACTTTACCACGTTGTCATACACTGGCCATCTCTTTAACTTTTGTGGACTAGATGTTGCAAACTTTTGACTTATTTGCCCATTATTTACACTACATGCACAGTAAAACAAAACCCACAAAACATACAGAAAAATGATGTTGCAAGATGTCCAAGTACAGGCCAGGGCTTTAGTTCAATGGTTCTGCCACCTGCCTTGTAAGCACAAAGTCCTGCGTTTGATCCCTGATACCAAAACAAAAACAAAAAAACAAAAAAAAAAAAACAAAATGCCCAAGTATAAATGCACTAATATACAACTTTTTCCAGTTGCTTCTCTCCCACCTTCTCCAAACTGCTGAACAAGTACAGACAGTACCATATTGCTCAAGAGATGGCTTAATCATTCCATTCCCTAAAGATAGCATTTGATGTGAATTTGTTTGTTTTTTGGTGTTTTGAGACAGGGTCTCACTATGTAGTTGAGACCAGTTGAGAACCAGTTCAGTATCAACTACATAGTGAGACCCTGTCTCAAAACAACAACAACAAAAAAGGTTACTTTCAAACATGTTTCTTTGAGCAGGGGATTTAGCTCAGCAGTGCTGCCTCTGCTCTGCAAGTGCAAGGTCCTGATATCACACACACACACACACACACACACACACACACACACACGTTTTTCTTTTTTTTTTAAACAGATGAGCGTTTCCAAGCTCAGCAGTGCTGCCTCTGCTCTGCAAGTGCAAGGTCCTGATATCACACACACACACACACACACACACACACACACACACACGTTTTTCTTTTTTTTTTAAACAGATGAGCGTTTCCAAGACATGTGATTTTCTAACTCTACTTTATCACACATCAACAACCTCTTTACATCTGCATTGTCCACATGCAGCAAGTTTTCTTTAAAAGGTTTGGGGAGGGGGTATTTGTATACATAGACCTTCTAAAAAACGGCCAGGAAATCTTCCCAAAGGGTGGCGGGCATTTCCAGTTAGACATAGGTGGACTGTTACTTTACCCTCTGGCAACCGCCCATGGCCATGCTAGCTGGTCAACCATCCTCAGTGAGGCCTTTATTGGAGAGGTGCTGTCGCTTCCACCTGAACACAGCAGTAACCCCAAGACCCAATCAGTGCAGTTCAAAGGCCTGAAGTTGTCCAACTTTCAGACCCACCTTCTCGGGCCCTCTGTGGTGGTGGCATTGGTCGAGGTTGCCACTCTTCTCACCGGGCCCTGCTGCACTGCTGCAAGGTGCCATATCTTCCACGGCTGGCACTGGCGAGGCTTCGCCTAGGCTGGCAGGGTTGGACCGGGAAACCCTGTGGCCTGAGGAGTTCTGGCTCCAAGGCCAATGGCATCAGTGGCAGGTGGTAGTGGAGGTGGGCTCAGGTGCAGTTCTCCTGTGCTTCAAAACCTGGGCCCTGCCAATGGCTATCACAGGAAGGGATCTGGATCGCAGGGCCTGCAGGGCAAGGCCAGTCACTAACCGCCAACAGGAGGGCCAGGATGGCCCTGGAGGAGCAGGCTGAACTTTCTCACTGCTGGAACTCAGTCTTCCCAAATTTGAAATGCTCCAAAATGTTACTTCACATATATGAAGAAAATTTAAGGTATTTTCCCAAGTTTGACAAAAATACTAAACATTTTCATAGTATAATCACAAAGTGTGGTGAGTTTTCTCGAAATTATCAAGAATTTTTAAAATTTATGCTAGACTACCAACCCCCTCCCCTCTCCCTCTCCCTCTCTAGTACTGAAGATTGAACCCCAGGGCCTTTGTACTTTTAATCTCCAGCCACCCTTTTTAATTTCTGGAGATAGGATCTAAGTCATTAAACTGACCAGGCTGAGCTTGAACTTTTGATCCTCCTGCCTCAGCCTCCCAGAGTGCTGGCTGAGTTTACAAACATACCATGACTTTCTTATTCTATCTAGAAAAGAATATGTCAACTGCTACAGTGGCACACACCTGTAATCCCAACTACTCAAGAGTCTGAGGCAGGAGAATTATAAATTCAAAACCAGGCTGGGGCTGGGGATTTAGCTCATTGGTGCCACTGCTACCTCAAAAGCACAAGGTCCCGAGTTCAATCCCTGGTACCAAAAAACCAGGCTGGGCACCTTAGTGAGATCTTGTCTCAAAAAAAAAAAAAATTTTTTTTTTTTTTTGTTAAGACTGGGTCTCACTGTGCAATTTAGGCTAACTCACTATGGGTTCAGTGTATAGGTCAAGCTGGCCTCAAATGCAAAGTGATCCTCCTGTCTCAGTCTCTGGAGTGCTGGGATTATAAGAACATACCACCATGCCTGTCCTTGTTTCAAAACTTTAAAAAGGGGAGAACACAGCTCAGTGTCAATGTACAGATAAGAGACAGAATCTACCTGTATATAAAATCATGAGTATGAAAATGTCTATATAAGAGCATTAAAGAGTAGAAAAATTGTATAGGTTAGCCAGGTGGGTAACTTATCAGTTGAAAACTCCTAATTTTTGGTATCTTTCCTCATTCTAAAAATACTCACTTTTGTGCTTATATTTTTTAAATTTTTTTTTTTTTTTTTTTTTTTTTTTTTTTTTTTTTTTTTTTGTTGTTGTTTTTGAGGCAGGGTCTCACTGTGTAGTTGAGACTGACCTGGAACTCACTGTGTAGCCCAGGCTGGACTCGAACTCACAGAGATCCTCCCTTAGCCTCCCAAGTGCTGGGACTACAGGTGTGTACCACCACACCCAGCTTTTTTAATTTTTTTTTTAATTTTAAAATTTTTAATATTTTGGTACCAGGAATCAAACTCAGAGCTTGTGCTTGCCAGGCAGGTGCTATGCCACTGAGCTACATCCCCGGCCCATGTGCTTCTATTTTCTTAAATGGAGTCCCAAAAGTTGTAAGCTTCAGACACTCAAAACCTGGATTTACTCTTGGGATTAATCAGATGGATGTGGTCAGTGTGTCCTATTTAAAAAAAACAAACAAACAAACAAAAAACCCTAGCCCAGCATAATGGACTACCAGAGCTGATGAGTTAGGATGGCAAGTACTGAAAATCTGGAGGGATTTGGGATAGCAAAAGCTGCATTGACAGTATCTGTGAAAGAATGAGTTCAGACAAACCTAACACCAAACTAGGATGTGAAAAGTCTGGAAAGGTCAAGGTCACCAAGTGTCCATCCCTGGGCAGCTCCTACTTACCTCTCCTTGGGTGTCTGCTCCTCCACATGCTGACTCTTCAGTGTACTCACTGAAGGTGGGTGCCCTCAGTAACATCACAGTTCAGCCATAATGATGTAACAGGGAGCCTCTGACTATGCTATGGCTAGGTGGGTGCACTCAGTGACATCACAGTTCAGCCATAATGATGTAACAGGGAGCCTCTGACTATGCTATGGCTAGGGCTCACCTGCTAGAACATCTCATTACAGTGTGGCTGATTTTTTTCATCATTTGGGCAACGTGAGAGTCAATCCTGTTAGAACGTGATCTTTTTCAAGAACTTCCCTTTATTATTTATTCCCATCACTCCATCTTCGGTTAGACAGAGGTACTTGCTTTTCTTCATTATATTTCTCATCCTTTGCTTTAGGGTTGTCCTTCACAAGCAAAGGGCTTTGCTCTCCTGCAATGCTTAAGGAACACAATATAATTCCATAGTGTAAGGAAGAGTCCCCTTCCCAAGAGGAAACAGGGCTTTGTCCAAACTGTACCCTTTTGTTGCACTAGCAAATGCTGGGTTATCCAGCAACTCCAGAGCTGGCTGCTCCCCAGAAGTGGTAGGATCCTGCTAGGGTGTCTTGTAACAGGGCTACCTAGCTTCTCTGTACCTCCTTCCCACACAACTTTTTCACAGCCAGAAGACTCCAGCAGAAAGAAAACCCAACTTCTGTGGAACTGGGTGAACTCCAGCCTTTACACTGAGCTATATTCCCAGCCCTTTGTGTATTTTTTGAGACAGGGCCTTGCTAAATTGCTCAGGCTAGGTTTGAATTTATGATCTTCCTACCTCGACCTCCCAGAGTGCTAGGATTATGGTGTGTGCCATCACACCCAGAGGGAATATGAATTTTAAGGAATGAAAATATCAAGAAATGGAAAAAGGGCTCAAGGAAGGAATCTTGCTATTTTTTGCAACCTTTGGCCCAAAGCAAACTCCTGAATACCTTATATTTTCTTTTCATATTTCAACTTTATTTCAAACATGAGGTTTTGTACCCAGAAGGGAGGGCAGCTGCATAAAGAATTTCAAGTGAGGCACAATACTAGTGGGGTCAGGGCCCAGTGCACAAGGGCTGCACTGTGAAGGGTTTGGGGAGGTTCTGGAAGGGCCTGGCAAGAACAGTGGTTTTTGGGGGGGGGATTCATGTAACAAACTTTATTTCCTCCCTGGGTTACCTTTTCAAGAGATGGATTATTCAGTCTTTATAGTAACATCATCAAAAGAAATCCCAAGGCTGTGGTCACAGAGAAAACTATCAGTTCCTTTGTTCCTCTTTATGCCTGGAAGGGAAAGGGGGTAGAAACTATTAGCAAAAATTGAAACGTTTTTGATATTAGCCTCTGCCATGAATTACCACGGGTCTGCGTGCGTGAGGTATGTTTCTCAGTCTGGTTACAGGATGTAATCAGGAGGCCTGAGCTTAAACCCAATCCCGAGTGGCACTAACAAATGATCTGACCCTGCTGGAGTCCCTTTTCATCTCTGAACCTGTTCTCTGCAACGAGGCCTGCACTCAATGCTCTCTAGAAGATAAGCGTCTCATGTATCAGAGTCTATGACCAGTGTGAAAGGCAGGGATCCAGAGGAGCTCCAGAGAAACTCGTGAGAGTCAGACTGGAAAGTTCAGGAGTTAGGGCTTACTATGAGCTACATTCATAAAGACAAACAAAGCAACAGGAAGAAAGGTATAGAGCAGGTAGGCGCAGGATGATTTCTGAGGTCTGGATTAGACGAGAGGAATAGCGCTCCTGCTGGGTTGGCTCAAGGACCAAGCCCTTGACCGTGGTAGTGTTTTCTTTCATAGCACTTTCCAAACCACAGCTGCCATGTTATACCCCAAAATGCTCCCATTCAGTCATCAGACGTCCTGCTCTACTATAATGCTTAACACCTAACACCCAACAGGACCCCTAAAGATTCAGCCAAACTCCTGGCATTTCCTCGTCAGGTGCACAGAACCAGCTGGGAAGAGCCAGCAGGCATAGCTCTGTCAGGGCATAGCATTCTTTGCTTATTGGGAGTTTTGGGAAGAGCAAGACAGGAAGGAAAGTATACTATGTCACTGAACTAGAATTGCAGCTGGTGAGGTTTATGACGCCACTGCACCGGCTCTGTACAAGGTGAGGAAAAACCTAGGCCAGGGAGAATCTCAGTGCTCACGTCCTGGGGGGAGGAGTGTTGGGGACCAAGACCCCTGTGCGTGTCCACCCTCCGTGTGTGCCCCTCCACCCTGTGTGTATGTGTGCCCCTGATAGGAACTTTACACCCTCCTGGGGACATTCTGACCCCTCCCGGGAACATTCTGGCCATGCCCTACCTTATCTAGCTAGACCAGCCTAGGTTAGGTAACCTAGCAACCAGGAAACTCCCTGCTCATCCCTGCCTGCATAAAAGCTGCTGTGTGAGAAATAAAAATTGTCAAATTTTGACCATCTAAAAGAGCTCTGTCTGGTTCCTGTCTTCCTGTGTCGTTCCCATTCCCGTTCCGGGTGGTTCCCTCCTCGAGCCCTACTAATAACGAACCCCGCCGGCCGGGGCAGAGGAGTGCACATCAAAGGCATCTGGGCAAGGAATAGCTCTAGAAAACCTCAAAAGGACCAGACACACATAAGCTACTCACGAAGTATTAGTTTCTTCCCTATTTTACAGGCTTAGTGGCACTGCTAGTCGTGCAAGCCTATGTTGAGAGAGTGAGATACCCATTATTTATTTGTATGTGCAAGAACATGGCTCGGTCCAGGCCCCAGTTGGGGCAATAATGGGGGAAACTGCCAGCTTACTCCAGGGCCTACACCAGCTAAATATGGAGAGAACCAGAAAACTCGTGTTACACAGACTCTTGTTATCCTCCAAAGCTGAAAATGAGAGTGCGAGTGGGCCACGGTATTACTTATAGAGGATGAGCTCAGGGAACAGTATTCCTGGTTCCCTCTCTCAAATCCAAATTTGTGTTTACTCAACAGTACTAGGGCCTGAGCACAGCCCACCCTGCAGCTGTCCTAGCCAGGGACCTTTCTGGGAAACATCAAAGAACCTGCCAACTCAAGGCTAGTGGGAAGGGACAGGTAGGTGGCAAACCAACAGGTATGGATGGCTGGTGAAGGCCAGGAGAGAATTCCAATGTATGCAAAGGCTGGAGTTTAAATAGGCTCCCGCTTTCATGCAGGCAGGTGGGGTGGATACCTTGCTGATCCTGCAGAGCTGAGACACCAGCACAGAAGAAAGCAGAAAGCTCCTGGTAGAAGTGATAAAGCCTGGGACCTCAATGTTTTGCCTTCTCCAAGCCAGTTCAGGAGACTGGGAGGATGGGGAGGTAGAGTACAATCAGAAATTATAGTTTTCCTATTAAAAGATGACATATAGGGCTGGGGATTTAGCTCAGTGGTACCGCGCCTGCCTGGAAAACACAAGTTCCTGAGTTCAATCCCCGGTACCAAAAAAAAAAAGACATACAGCAAGGTTTTAATTTTTTTTCCTTGTGGCTTTACAAATGAACCCATGGCCTTTACACTGAGCTACAACCTCAATCACTTTCTTTTTTATCTTGAGCAGGGTCTTGCTAAGTCACTAAGTTGCCCAGGCTGGGCTTACACTTGCAATCCATCTGCCTCAGCCTCCCAGACTGCTGGGATTACAAGTGTGTACCACCATGCCCAGCTTCCTCATTTTGTTTCTAAAGGAAAAATAAAACATTACAGTGAAGCATATGGGCTCTGGAGATTACTGGGTTATATAGCTTTGCAATTTATTAGCCATGTGATCTTGGACAAATTAATGAGCTTCTCTTTTCTGGGACTTATCTCTAAAATAGGAATAATAATGTTCAACTCATGTTGTTTTGAGCATGCATGCAAAACAATTTTAGCAGATATATTATTAGTAACCGTGAGCTATTTCTATTGTTACAATGACATAATAGTTAACAGTAGGCAAAACATTATTACATACTGAACCTTGACCCAGACTTCCTGGATTCCTCGCTGATGCCTAAAATAGTGCAATGCAGTAGTTTCTCTTCACTTTGTTGACCTGAAGCTGATCCACAAGACACATGAAATTCTTTGTTTTCATTATAAGAGGCCTTTTTTTTCCCCTTCTATGGTATTGGGGATTAAACCCAGGGCCTTCATACTGAGCTACATCCTCAGTCCTCTAATTTTTGAGCCAGAGTCTCACTCAATCAGTGAATGGCTGAGGCTACACTTAAACTTGCAATCTTCCTGTTTCAGCCTCCCAGAGAGCTGGGATTACAGGCATGAGCCACCATACCAAGCTAAGCATGATGTTTTAAATTTGTGGAAACACCGAGGGGGTCCTCTCTTTCAGTTTTCTTCAAAGAATTAAGGCTGTGGATAGGAAGGCCACAGTAACAAGCCCTATTCTAAATGCGTGTGAGGGTACATGCATGTGCATGACCTCCTTTACTTAGTGACAAGGAAGAACAGGAGCCAGAAATCTTTCTTTTGCGAAATCAATAAAAGGTGGGGCTAGGATTTAGCTCAGTGGTTCTGGAGCCTGCCTTGCAAGCACAAGGACCAGAGTTCAATCCTCAGTGCCAAAAAAAAAAAAAAAAAAAAAAAAAAAAAAAAAAAAAAAAAAAAAGAAAAGAAAAGAAAAAAAAGAAAAAGGTATGGGGAGCTAGTTACCTGGGAGCTCCTTGTTCATCTGTAACATCAGGAGCTGCTTACTCCCTTTCTCCCTTTACAAGAGTGGCAAGAAGCCAAGGGAGGTGGATTAACTGGGGTCTTGGAGAAGGGCAGAGACCAACAAGGATGAAGAGGGAAAGGAAGAAATAAAGGTAAACACCCTACGTGTTCAATGAAAAAAGTGAGAAGGGAACAATGAAAAAAAAAAAAAGAGGTTAGATATAGGCTAAGAGGAAAAGAAAAACAAGCAACCACCAAAGAAATGACTTCTGCATTAAAATTAACAAAGAGGAGGGGCCGGGGATTTAGCTCAGTGGCACATCGCCAAGGGCAAGGTCGTAGTTTGATCCCCAGTACCAACATAAATAAAATAAAATTAACCAAGAGGGGAGACTGCAGGCAGGAATGTAAATAGAGGGGTCCAACTTTCCCATTTCACTTGCTTATGGATCAGACTACCATCTTCTGCCATTTAAATTTCAAGCTGCTCTCATGCTTGATGTTTTCCATTCATTTTATCTATAATCTTTTATCCTCAAAAGATGCCCACATTGTTTCATTTTGGGGCTACCAAGCATCACTTTCCCAAGAGATCTCAGAGCACCCAGGCTGGAAGTCTATGGAAGCAAGCGCAAAAACAAGGGCAGAGGGTAAACTGCAGTTTGGAAAAAGGTCTGGAATATCTGTGCCAAAACTAGAGGGCCTATCCTCAGCCCCCAACACACATTCAGGGCTGTGTGTGCTCTGAACTGCAGCACAAGGCTGAAAATTCTAATCTAGACTGTGATCCACACAGATCATAAATGTAAAAAAAAAAGCATACTTAAGCGATCACCTAACTCAAATCCAATTTCCCCACCCAGGAAGCTGGGAGCCAAAGAACTGAAGTAATTCGTTCAAAGTCACACAACTAATCAGTGACTTCCTTTCCTTCTTAGGTAAAAAGAGTAAATCCGAATAGCTATTCTTGTGTTCACAGTCCCTTGATAAACACAACCCATAAAGCGCTTAAAGGTTATTAGAAGGCACCCAGAAAAGGCTGGCATTTTTTTCTGGAAGCCCCTGAGTGTACCAGCCTCTTGGGTGCCCCTTAGTTGGCTACAAAGACAGACCTGGAGTTGCCTTTGCCTCCATTATAATCCTTATCGCTGCCTGGAGGCTGGAGGAAACTCCACTACCTGTCATCACTTTCCATTGAGTCTGTGACTGATATCTGAAACTGTCATAATGCCAGGGCCCAGGGAGCAATGGCCAAGTTCTTGGGAGTAAGCAAGGCAATGATGGTTGAATTAAAGCTAGGATGGGCGGGCTTGAGGGACCTGAGGTGACAAAGGCCAGTAAAAGGGAAGGAACCAGCAGCCTAAAGGAATTCAACTGGGCTGGACTACACGCATTGCCCCTTAATCCCAAAGACCCTCAACCTTGGACTACCGACTCCTAAACGGGCCGAATCTCTGAGGAAGCCACCACCACCCCTTAGTGGTCCTCCAATCCCTCTAGCGCCCCTTCCGGTCTTCCCTCCGCTTTGCCTCGGGTCCGCTCCACTCAACCGGCGCATTCCACCCCCGGCCCCGCCGATGCCCTGCACCCTTCTCGCTCTCCCCACTGGACTCGCAGGTCAGCTGCTCGCCCATCTCCTTTTCTCCCATCCTCTCGCCACAAGGGTTCTCCCTGCCTCCGGGTGCCTCGGGTTTTCTCCGCCGCCGTGGACTGCAGCTGCCTCGTCTCAAATAAAGTGGATCCAGCCCTGGAGCTCCGGAGCTCCGCCACTGCCCGGGTGCTCCGGACCACGTAGAGCATAGTCACGGCCACCGTTGTTGTCCCAGAACTCGTGACCTGTCACGCGGTAGCGCAGGGCGAAGAGCAGGGCGCCCCCGACAGGCGGCGCCGGCAGGCGGAAGGCAAAGCGGTCAGCGC